AAGTTGTGCATGTACACATAGATTTAATCTTGAAGCTATATTTTTGTTTTTTTTTTTTTTTTTTTTTTTTTTAATTTATAAATATATTTTTACACCATTTATTTTAAAACAAACATGAGAAAGTAAAAAAAAGAAAAAAACAATAAGGACACATACAATAAATAATATAAATTCATAAGATGCTTACTTTTATTTTGTCAAAAATAACTTTGTTAAATAAATGATTCAACTTCAATTGGTGTAACATTTAAACAAACACCTTTTACTTGTCTTTTTATGCTTCCTTCTTCCAACTTATATTATCCTTTTTTTTGTGTGAATAATTCTCATAACATATCTTTTTAAACACATACTTTTAAGCTCGCGCGTCTTATTGTACAAGCACATATATGTACACACATATATACACATATATATATATATTCATTTATTTAACAAAAAAAAAAAACAAGGCAAAATGAACAAAGTAAACCGAGTTTCGATTATTTGTGCTTTTTTAGCACTTTTTTGCTTCGCAAATGTGTTGTCCTTGAGGGGAAAGAGCGGATCGACTGCCTCGTCCTCTCTTGAAGGAGGAAGCGAATTTGCCGAGCGCATAGGGAACAGCTTATCATCATTCCTTTCCGAATCGGCATCCATGGAAGTAATTGGAAATGAACTGGCCGACAACATCGCCAACGAAATTGTTAGCTCCCTCCAAAAGGATTCAGCATCCTTTTTACAAAGTGGATTTGACGTAAAAGCCCAGTTAAAAGCTACTGCCAAGAAGGTCTTAACGGAAGCTTTAAGAGCAGCATTAGAACCAACAGAAAAAATTGTGGCCAGCACGATTAAGCCACCACGTATCACCGAAGAAGCCTACTTTTTATTGGGCCCGGTCGTCAAGACTCTCTTTAACAAAGTTGAGGACGTTTTACATAAGCCAATACCTGATAACATTTGGGAGTATGAATCCGCAGGTTCCTCCGAAGAGGAAGAAGCAGAAGATGATTTCTCTGATGAGTTCTTAGATTAAGCATAACATATAGACGCATTTTTTTGAGAAAATGTGATATACATGAAACAACTGGTAAGTAGGGAGAAGAAGCCGTAGACAAACTGAGATGGATAGACTGCTGCGCCAGCACACACCAACCCCCTCTTGTGGAATCCGACTGTTCGAAGCAACGATATCCAAATTGTTGCTAAATACGAAGTAAACAAAATGAGATCAACATTGTGATATGCCCAATGCGCATTGATTTAATATATCATGTTATCTTTGTTTTTTTTTTTTTTCTGCTTTAAGTCGTGCATATATTTTTTTTTTTTTTCGCGTGTCAGCCTAGTCGCCTTCGCTTATGGCTTATCGCTTATCTCTTATTCGTTTTTTCGCCCTTTCGTTTTTTTTGGAGTTTTTAGATTTTCTTCATTTTGAACGTACACTGACATAAAGATAAGAACATTGATAGTCCACATTTTATGATTCCCCGTGTGCCATGACATGTTCATTCATCATATGTGTGTACGTACGCACGTTAATATGGGAATATGGTTCCTATGGTTATGCGCGCGTATATATATTTTTGCCAATATGTTTTTTTTTTCCCGCTCAAATAGATAAACATTAAGTGAAATTCGTAACATTTTTTAAAACACGTCAACATTGCGGTGAGGCAAATACTTGGTTTACCGGAGCGAGCAACGTAATTGTGCGTAAATGGTAATCAAACTCGGCATAAACGGTTATAAAATTCTGTACTACTTCTGATTATGTGCCGCGTGCCGCATCAATTAGGATGGATAAAGTGGGCAGACGGGGCGGTAGGCAACTGTCGCATGGGCGTTTTCGGTGCATCAGCCAACAGGGTACATACATAAATATGTAAACATGCGGGAATAAGCACCTATTCGCGTTACACACCTTTTGTGTGGTATCTACACTACGTGGCGTTATGGCAGCTGGAATGCTTCTCAGGGTAATTGCACAACAGCGTGAAGAAGCACGAGTATGTGCATGTGTGTGTATATATATACGTATGTACAGCTAAAAGTCTTCTTCATTTTGAGAAAAAAAAAAAAAAAAAAAAAAAAAAAAAAAATTATAACAACTTTGAACAGGAAACTTATACATAGGGGTAATTAAGTGCT